ACTTTTGGCAACTTTTTATACTATTTTTTGGGACTAACATATTGATCCAGTGCCCAGTGCCAGATCCTGTTTGTTGCATGTTTTATGTTTCGCAGAAACCCATTATCAAACGGAATCCAAACGGGATAAAAACGAACGGAGAATTATTTTGGAATATTTGGGATTTTCCGGAGGAAGAAACAACGCGAAACAGTGTCCGAGGTGGCCACGAGACAGGGGGGCGCGCCTGGCACTCTTGTGGGCCACCCGTAAGGCGGTTAACGCTCTTCTTTTGCCGCAAGAAAGCTAATTTTATGAGAAAAATCTGCGCGAAAGATTCACCCCGATCGGAGTTACGGATCTCCGGATATAAAAGAAACGGTAAAGGGGCAGAATCAAAGAACGCAGAAACAGAGAGATAGATCCAATCTCGGAGGGGCTCTCGCCCCTCCCACGCCATGGGAGCCAAGGACCAGAGGGGAAACCCTTCTCCCATCTAGGGAGGAGGTCAAGGAAGAAGAAGAAGAAGGGGGGCTCTCTCCCCCTTGCTTCCGATGGCGCCAGAACGCCGCCGGGGGCCATCATCATCACCGCGATCTTCACCAACACCTCCATCATCTTCACCAACATCTCCATCACCTTCCCCCATCTATATTCAGCGGTCTACTCTCCCGCAACCCGATGTACCCTCTACTTGAACATGGTGCTTTATGCTTCATATTATTATCCAATGATGTGTTGCCATCCTATGATGTCTGAGTAGATTTTCGTTGTCCTATTGGTGGTTGATGAATTGCTATGATTGATTTAATTTGCTTGTGGTTATGTTGCTGTCCTATTGTGCCCTCCGTGTCACGCAAGCATGAGGGATTCCCGCTGTAGGGTGTTGCAATACATTCATGATTCTTTTATTGTGGGTTGCTTGAGTGACAGAAGCATAAACCCGAGTAAGGGGATTGTTGCGTATGGGATAAAGGGGACTTCATGCTTTAATGCTATGGTTGGGTTTTACCTTAATGAATCTTTAGTAGTTGCGGACGCTTGCTAGAGTTCCAATCATAAGTGCATATGATCCAAGAAGAGAAAGTATGTTAGCTTATGCCTCTTCCACATAAAACTTGCTATCGGTCTAGTAACGTAGTCAATTGCTTAGGGACACTTTCACAACTCCTACCACCACTTTTCCACACTCGCTTTATTTACTTTATTGCATCTTTATCTAAAAAGCCCCTAGTTTTTATTTACACGTTCTTTATTATCTTGCAAACCTATCCAACAACACCTTCAAAGTACTTCTAGTTTCATACTTGTTCTAGGTAAAGCGAACGTCAAGCGTGCATAGAGTCGTATCAGTGGCCGATAGGACTTGAGAGAGTATTTGTTCTACCTTTAGCTCCTCGTTGGGTTCGACACTCTTACTTATTGAAAGAGGCTACAACTATCCCGTATACTTGCGGGTCATCGGCTACAGACAACGACCTTTGGGATTTCCTGTTACAATAAAAATGAAAAAGTATGGATAAAAAATTCATAACCCGAAAAAACTTTCTCAAGACTAAACTTCTGTGAACAAATCTAAAAAAAAGAAAAATAAAATAAAGCAGTGAAGTCAAAAATTTACCATGATAAACTTCACAGTGTTTGTGACAGTCATGACATGAACGAACGGAACGTAACGTAGGAAGCTCAAAGTCCGGAAAAGTGAACGTACAAAGGAGCGATTGTTGTGATAGTTGAACTCCAAGCCACGAGGCATGACAGCAGAGCATACTAGCTCATACTTTGCATCACTAAAGTTTTCAAAAGCTACAAAAAAAAGATAACCCAAATAAGTTAACATCTATGACAACAATGCAATTAAAAAGCAAAATAAACAACAATGATAAATAACACAGAGAAATAATCAGAAACTCACCAACAGAAGGTAAAGGAAGAATCCTTTCTCCATCACGGAAAGTCACTACTTTCAAATCAAAACACGTGTGGTCCAACGTAAAGACCACACAATCTCCAGCATGAAGAGCATAGTCGTTGCTGAACTCAACCAAGCACTGCCACAAAACTTTCAATAGTTCCTCGATGCTTAAAGTCTGAACCATAAGACCTACTCTCATAAGTAAGAATAGCAGGCTCAGTCCTCCTGTGGTTGAAAGTCTGTGCAAAATTCCTGTGCTCCTCGATATAATCAGCTAAGAAACCCCTCGCATTGCATGGGATGTATTGAAAAATTAAAAAAATGAAACAAAGCAACACAAAGTAAATATCGCATGAAAAAATTGCACATCCATCAAACTAAAAATGCGGACATTTTACGACAGCAAAGACTCATATAAATCTTGTTGATATCGGAACTAGTACAACTAATGAACTATAACTACACCAAACAGAACTATAACTATAACTATAACTATACCAACACAACTAGTAACATTGCACATTCATTACAGTAAAATTGCACACATTTTACAACATCAACTACTGATATTAACCTTGTTGTTTATTGTAATTTAGAGTTTATAGAGGTAGATGTGTTGGTTAATTTATAAGGCATTTAAACTACATAAAAGCTAACTCAATTGACAATTATAACTACACCAACAGAACTTATCCATAAAATTCAAAATTTAGAATTGAAACTAGTATCTTCATAAATACTACACTTGCACACAGTTTGCATGAACATTGATTTCAACAAACAAGGATTACATGAACTACACAGTACCTCAATTACCTACTAAAAATAGAGAATTTGCAAGCTCATACAAGGGAAGAACAAAACTAAATAATGTAAAGTGATAAGATTAATACAACTCACCATCCTCCTAAAGTAATACCACTACTAGGAAAAGGGCTATAGATAGGACTGATTCTAATGGCGCACCAGGTAAGTAGTGCGCCACTACTATATACTAATGGCGCACCGGTTGCTCGTGCGCCCGTGATCACGGTGCGCCACTACTATTGATTTTTTTCCCATTTTTCCATACAAACTAATGGCGCAGGAATGGCAAAGTGTGCCATTATTAGTTAGAACTTGTAATGGCGCACGACCAAGACAGTGCGCCATTAGTATATAATTTTTTTTACTTTTTTGCAAACCTACTAATGGCGCACTATGCCAAAGCCCAGTCGTGTTTATACCCGAAGCCAAATCCAAGACCGCGGGCGCAAACGTCACCGCGAAAAATGAGCCATGGGTACTGGCTTCCCAAGTGGACCAATGCTTCTTCATTACCGACCCGCCAAAGCCCAGTCGTGTTGTCGTGAGGAGAGGCAAAAGGAAGATCATCGGAATGGATGGAGTAGCCAATGAGCAAGACTTCGACAAGTACGGCGACCCGAAGATCGAACATGACGACGACGATGAAGTAGCAGCACACACCACAAGAAGAAGCAGGACCACCCTACCTAAAGGACGTCCGTTCCACAGAAGAACTCCATTTGCGAAAAAGAAGGGCAAGAAGATTGTGAACAGATAGCTAGCTAAGATCGATTGTATTTAAATCATAGTCTTCATTTCTCGATTGTATTTCATGGGCACTTTTTGATATCATGAATATTTTTAAATTTCATGGGCACCTTTTCAAATCATGAGGACACTTGATCTCGATCCCCCTCCATCTCGATCTCGATTCCCCCTCCATCTCGATCTCGATCCCCGCACCCTCCCCCACTCCACCGCCGCCGCCGATGATATTTTCAAGTAAGAAATTTGAACATATTTTTAAAAAAAATATTACTGTTTTTATAAAAAAAATATTACTGTTATGATTTAAACAAGTTTGAACATATTTAAACACAAATATAAAAACAGCATTTAAAATGCATAAAAAGTATTGGGGAGCCTGGGAATCGAACCCAGGACCTCCTGGTGTGTGTGCTGCATGCTGACCAGTCGGGATAGTGGGTGGGTTATGTTGTAGATAGGGTTAGGTTGTAGATATGGTTAGTGGGCTAGATTAAAACAAAATTCTAATGGCACACCGAGAGCTGGTGCGCCATTAGAATAGCCAGACTTATGGCGCACGACTGGACGGTGCGCCATTAGAACCTCCCCCTAGCTATCCCCCTCCCTATCGCCAGATCCCCTTCGACCCTCTCTCCGGCCCTCGCCACCAGATCCACCCGCGTGCTGCCCCGACCCACGCCGCCGCCGCCCCCGCGCCTCCATCTCTGTCGCCGCCCCCAGTCAGCCCCTGCCCTGCCCCCCATCGTCGTCCGCTCCCAATCCACCCCCTCCCTCGCCTTCACCGCACCCACCCACCCCCT